CGAGGCGTATTTCTTCGGCTCGACTGAGCCGCTCGGTCAAGTTCGGGACCTGTACGGGCTATAGTATGTTAGCCCGTATAGCAGCCCTTCGGTTCTACTGAACCGAAGAGGTCCTGGAGCCGAAGCTAGCCGAAGGATCGGCCGAAGCTACGGCTAGATCCTGCGGCTGCTTCGTGAATAGACCCCTATATTTATTTAAGTTTTAAACAACAAAAGCATTAAACCACAAAAAAAAACAGGCAAGGTAAACCCACAAGAAGTGCTAAATTCCCCCCCGCCCTCTCAAGAGAGACATCATACAGTTCCACCATTAACACAATGAAGGGAATTTATCAAAACTGGAGTAGACAAAATCTGGAGCATCTGTGCATGGCAACCAATCAGCTTCTCTCTTTCATTTTCAAATCTTAACTAAACAAACTGAAGAGAGAAGCTGATTGGTTGCCATGCACATCTGCTCCAGATTTTGTCTGCTCCAGTTTTCATAAATTCCTAACAATAAGTTTTAGAAATATGTCAGAATGGCTAGGATCTAGACCCACCATAGATCCCGCTAGGAGCAGTTCCGCCACTGGGCTGAGGACAGCATGAGGGTTACAAAACTCATATTAAGGAAAAATGTGAAATCCCAGGGGGAGGGGAGGAAAGACCCAGAAAAAGTAGGCAAAGTGAGAAAGAGAGGTACGATAGATACCCTAGGAAGGAGGGGGTAGAGAGAAAGGTACAAAGGGAGGCGGAAGTGCCCAGTCCTGGGGACCTAAACCGACATCTCACATCAACTGAAATATTATTTTATTAGGATTCTACACAGATTAAGCTATGCTCTTAAGCTGAAGCTGCACATTTCAGTGGTGCATTATGCAGTGTTTCATGCAGAAAGTTACAATAAAAAATAATGCATCTTGTTTTTGTCAGGAATCCCATTGGACGAACTGGATTAAAAGGCAGAGGCAGTTTATGCTGGTTTGGTCCAAACCATGCTATTCACCCTATAATAACACAGTAAGTAGACATCAATTATTTATATCTACACCACCAATAGTCTTTTTGCATTTGTCTGATTGAATTATCATACAGTATATCATTTAAGAAAAAGTATGATAAAAAGGTAAATCCTTACTGTACACATGGATGCAAAACAAAATGTTAGCGCGTTCATAATCAAATAGGCATTTCATGTAATCCTGGTTATACCTTAGTAATACCCAGCTCCAGACTGATCAGAAGATTGGCATTTGTATGAAGGAGATTTATCTATTTATTTGTTTCCTGTATTTACTGACCACCAACATGTTACACAGAGCTTTGCAGAGTACATAGAAGCATTTATAGCGTGACAGTTTTCTTACGCCACTAAGAGGTGCAAGCTGCCTTATTTACCAATATATGCTGAACTCATACTTACAGTATGTAGTTGGTATGACTGCTACACTTTATTACTGTTGTGTCTTTAAAACAAACTGTTCAATATTAAGGGGAAAAAAAGCACACACATATACTCGAAAACAAAAAAGATTCAGTGCATGCATTTTTTTTTTTTCAGGCTAAGAACATTTTCAGCAAGTACAGAAAACATTTGTTAAAATGCAGCCTCCTTGTCACTTTGACAGCACAAATATAAAATGACTAATCCCATCATTCCACCATGTAATCTACCATGTAATGGAGATAAACACAGGCAGACAAAGTCCAACCTGTGTGACAACTAGGGAACTGAGGGTAGCCATGAATGGACAAGAGGTGTTTTATTCACAGGATTGAAGATACTCTTTAACGCACCCAGTGGTCTTGTAAAAATAGTTTCCTTACAATTTTCATATTACGTACAAAACCAGATGATACAAAAGTATTTTCTTGAATAAAACACAATGGATTAATTGATTTATTTTAATATTCTACAATTTATCTTTTCACAGGTGGAAAAGAAACAAAGATGGCTCTGTTTGCAGAAAAAAGTCAAAGAAAGTGCTAGAGGTTTTGGCCATTAAACACGTTTCATCAGAGCACTGGGCTCTTCTTGGTGTAGGTTTGTGTGTGTGTTTTGTGTGTGTGTGTGTGTTCCATGTCCAATTATATCTATTTACGAACAGCTAACAGACCAACATGTTGGACTTTAATGGTACCACAATACTTCCCTTTGAACATTTTTTTTCAATCATTTTTTTTTACAAAAAGTATATTAAAAACAATTCCACAATACTTTATAGCAGTTTAACAAATGTTTTACAGAGTCTCAATTTAGGTTTCCAGGTACTCTGAGGGATACCCTCTGCCCTACATCTTACCAGTCATAAGGTCTTTGTTTTAAATCATATCAACAATATGCCTGACACTCTCTACAATATAGGTTACTAGTATATTCAGCAGACCAAGGAGCACTTTCTTCACACTTTTTGCCGGATATTTTTTACCTGCTTCTTCAGGAAACCCTCAGAGATATGTTATTATGTTATAACATTCTACCCCCTTTGTATATGGCTATGTAATACGCACACATGTGCACATGCATGGCATATGGTCCATGCATGCGCAATCCAGTGTCTGACGTCATGTGATGTCCAATGCGTTGAGAAAGTGCTCCTCGGGCCTGCTGAGTACACCAGTAACCTATTTCTTAGAGGATGTCGGACATATGATTGATATGATTTATCACAAAAACCTTATGACTGGTAAGATGTAGGCTAAAGGGTATCCCCCAGAGTACCTGGAAACCTAAATTGAGACTCTGTAAAATCTTTGTTTAAACTGTTTTAATGTATTGTGAAATTGTTTTTCAATATACTTTTTGTAATTCTGTTTTCTAAAAACCCTTTAAAAAGTTACTAGTGTGGTACTATTAAAACCATTAAAGTCTGGTGTCATATTGGTGTAGTTGTTTGTATGTGTGTATAAGATAGATAGATAGATAGATAGATAGATAGATAGATAGATAGATAGATAGATAGATAGATAGATAGATAGATAGATAGATAGATAAATCATTTGCTTGTAGTTTTTAAACTCAGCTTTAAGAATTTATTCACATCTAAGCCATTTAGTTGGCAATTGTGTGTCATATAAGAACGTTTATTTGAAGTGGACTACTTTATTTTTGTGTTACTGTCTACAGTGTGCTTTTGACAGTGCTTCCCATGAACTACAGTGACCATGCACAATTTACATTTCACAGTAACTAGAGTTTACAGAGTGAATAATGAATTTTATAACAGGTACACAGTTACCTGAAACATATTATGCCATTATATTGCAGAGATAAATGTGAGGATTACACCAAAAAATTCTGATTGCTAGATGAAAGTGTGAATGTTTTCAGCAATACCTAGGATAGCAAAGATCCTTGTACTACGTGTTGTTTATTCATTATCAAAGGAATTTGCTTGTTACCTCCTGTTTTTTTACAAATGAAAATTATATATATTAAAATATAATTATACAATTATTATTTTCCTTACATTTTTTCTCAAAACAGGGTACAATGGAACCAGGAGAAACACTTCCGCACAAACTAAAGAGAATCTTAAAATATAGATTTCTAGATAAATTTGAAGAACTGCTGAACAATGGCAGTGAAGTAAGTTGAGAGCTACTCTAATACAGCCAGGAAGGGCAAAGTTCCCAAAGAAAATAAAACTGTTATATGTTTTGTTTGCAGTTAACTGTTTTACCTGCCAAATCATTTGTAATTCTGATCAGCTAATTGTCTGATTTAGACACCCTTGCCAGACTCCACAGCCAGGCCCTGAACCTGTCTGTAGTCCTGCTATTTATAGGACTAAGACCTATACCAACATGTGATTGGACAATGAAAGAGCAGCAGCAGGCTTGTGAGTTTATTAATGTAGTCTCCTCTGCTGTGAGAATAGTGCCTGTAAACAGCCCTGATTGGCTTGCAGTGCTGACCCCGAGTGCTACTTTCCAGATGATTATAGGTGACCTATTTAAAGATAAATTTAGGGACCTGTGCTAGTTATGTAAAAAGGCATTTAATGTTTTTTTTAATGGGTGCATTGCTAGAAGAAATTTTATTTTTTCCTGGAGCATCTTTATAGCAGCATTTGCAACATCCATATCCACATCTATAGGACTGGATGTGTATGATCTCCTTTCTCTACAGCGTATTGAATGCTGACTCGGAGCAGGGCCAGGTCACCTCACCATAAGTTGTAGAGGTAAGATGTTGTAATTTTTTTTTTCCTAATATCATTTTGCTGCAACGAAGTTCGTCCAATAACGAATTTCGTCCATAAACGAATTTCGTCCGAAGCTAATTTAATTTCGGACCCGAAAAACTAAACTAAACACATTTTTTGCTGGTGCACATGTCTAGTACTGACTACTATACCTGTTCTCTAAATTCATTTTAGGTATATAAAGGTTATGTTGATGACCCAAGAAATACAGACAATGCTTGGATTGAAACAACTGCAATAAGCCTGCATTTTGATAGACGAGATGATCATGTACTACTGGAATTAAATCAAGTAAGAACATTTATTTATTTAGATATGCTTTAAAGTAAATGAATATTTACTAAAATGATTATTCTAGTAAAGTAGTCAACACATTTTTTAAGAGTATGTACACCCCAACAATAAACGTATCTCATTTGGTCCCCTTTGGTTAGTTATACAGTATATACACCATTGAAAGCATTTTGTTATCTGTTCGATAAGTGCAAAAAATGCCTGTTGATCCTGGCAGAGATCTTGTGAGCAGATTCCTTTGCTCTTCGTCTTTGCAGACTCTTATCTGTTACCATTGTTCTTAGCTCTTTCTGAGAACTACAGAACACGTCTTCTTTTATGTTATGGAGAAAAGGAGAAAGCGGATGGGTTTGTAGTCATGACCTAGGGCAGGGTGTAGTCATGACCTAGACCCGCGGCTCCGGATCCGCATGTGGCTCTTTTATCCCTCTGCTGCAGCTCCCTGTTCAGGGGCGGAACGACCGCCAGGCCTCTGGGCCTGAGGCTGTGGGGGGGCCCAGTGAGGTCTGGTCTTGGGCACCCCCTGGTGGAATTTGCAGCACTGGGGCCCAGCACTGCCGACATGCTTCTCAGCAAGGGGGTGGGCCCTGTGACTCACCTCCCCTCCCGCCTCTTGTTACTAGGGACGCGGCTGGAAGAGGAGTAGTGTGTGTCACATGCCACGCCCAGGTATGGGTGTAACTGCACAATGTTTGACCACCAATAGTTCAATCCTTCCAACGCTTTTTCAGCTGTTCCAGGGCAGATCGGCATCGCAAATTGCATGTGCAGGAGAACCGATCTGCCCTGGAACTGCTGATCGGTTCTGAAATGTGACTTCTATCCGACTTTGTGAGTGGGGTGGAATGTGAGATCGCACTCACAGAGTCGGATAGAAGTGACATTTCAGGACCAAATAGCTGTTCCATGGCACATCAGTTATCCTGCACATACGATTTGCGATACCGATCTGCCCTGGAACAGCTGAGAAAGCGTTGGAATGCTTGACCTATTGGCGGTCACATATTCCACCGCCAAAAAAACTTGGAGGATTACATTGAAATGTGTGACCACGTCACCGGTCACACATTGTAACCTAGTCACAAACTTTGATAGAACACCACTATCAGGGGGCTGCAGCCAGTACCCATGTGAGGGGTCTGGTCAGCCTGGGGGGCCTCTTACATGAATATCAGCTGTACCATGGGCGGCATGGCAGAGGTGAAGGAAGGGGGTGGAGGAGGCCAGGCCCCAGCAAGCAGCAGGTAAGAGGAGTTGGGAGGAGGTGAAGGGACCCCGGCGACCAGCCCACCTGAGGCCCTGCAGAGCCCACCATAGAGAGTCTCAGATGGGCTGTGCAGGATCTATGGTGTGCTCTGCAGGGTCACTCTCGGGTGGGCTCTGTGGGGTCTCAGGTAAGTCCAGAGTCCAGTGCGTTATTAAGCCCACATACACCTATATACATGCTATAAATAGCATAAAGGTAAAAAAAATATATATGCAGTGTTATCTTCATTTTAGATGTCAAAAGGGTTTTGTGTCTCCCGGTGTTTTCTTTTCTGTGTGAAACTGGTCCAAATGGCTCTTTGAGTGTTTAAGGTTGCTGACCTCTGCCCTAGGGTGACATATTTGCTTATCAAAAGATACAGAACAGTGAGTGAGCATTGTCACCTTGGACAGGAAATTTGTAACTGGCAGGATAACCAGGTAAAATTAAAGAGGAAAAAACGAATGCAGCCATAGTTTAATTTTTGTTCTTGAGCTTAGATACAGTACAATCAAGTATGGATATTAGACTTGCTAGTGCATACTTCATGGACCTGTCATCCCGCAGGTACATAAATAATTTATAATTAAGGACCTCTGCAGGCAACATCTTTGGAATAGGAAGCTTTTGGTTATCTTTTTGAGTGGATGGTAGAACTCTTACTGTAAACATAGGGCATTCAATTTAATCCCTCTGATTTATACAAGAAATGGCAAGTATACAGTATACAAAGGGATGACATAATCATATTTGCCTGTTATGCTATGAATATTGTGAGTTCTAAATAAGATGTTATGAAAAAAATAACTTATCTACTTAAGACCACTTTGATTGTTCCATTACATATTATTAGGTATGAGTGGAGTGATTTCTTCTTAAATGTATTTTGTGACAAAATTTTGGACATTTTGGAGTAGCTTTAAAAAAATTTGCTTGAAAAAAATGTATTCCTTTTTGTTTTTTTATTTACAGAGTGGGCTTTTTTTCCGTGGGGGAGGGTGGGGTTGACAGTTATTTAATAACTATATTTAGGATAGTTTAGTTTATTTAATTTTATGTTTGGATGTTTCCTTTTTTGTGTAAATAATTATTATATTTGTACTGTTGCTTTTAGTTTTTGCTATGCTTTCTGTGAAAAAGACATAAAATAATGAAGTTTTGGGGACTTTTTGGCACAATTAAAGTCCTAGGATGGTTCAGACTTAAACTTCCAAAACCCTCAAGGGCCATTTAAAGGGTATTTAATGACTAAGAACCGCCAAAAACCATTCATGGTTTCACATTTTCCCATAGGCACCAATATATTTCACCAAAATGGCAAAATTTAGCTAAAATGTCCTAATGTTTGTCAAAACCTCAAAGAAATAAACTCTCATTATTGTGCTTATCCCAACATACGATATATTTATTTAAATGATGTACAGCTTTAAATTGTGCCTTTCATAGCTGATTGGATTAAAACTGCTAGCTTTTGAGATACCGTAGGTTACTTCAGTGACCACAGTATATAAATTAGATCACTTAAGAAGAATATTAAAATTAATGAGAATTTAAATTAAGATTTTTTTTTTATATGAAACAATGCATGACAAGGTATAAAGTTGCACTCATTTGTTGTTCTAAGAATATTAGCTTTTGCCAATGGATGTCTTATTTTAATAGGTGGTGGACAATGCTAATTTAAATAGATTGAAATTGCTTGGTTAGTCTGTAAAGTTTTGTTTGTTTTTTCAGAATATTCAAAGTAAGGAACAAGAAATATCTGTCCGCTGGCAGGTTGTAGACCAGAAGATACCCCTTTATGCAAATCACAAAGACATTCTTCAGAAAGTAGTAGATTGTTATAACGCTTATTATTAATAGACAGTACATGCTTTAGCTTGGAGATTTCCTACAATATGTATACAATACTATAACTATTGAATTATATATATGTACCAAACTGTTGTCTGTGTGTGTTTCTTTGCACTTAGTGTGGATTGCTACAGTCCACTTATAACCCTTTAGTGGTGTATATACTATAATTTGCAGTACTACTGAAAATACTCTCGAGTGAAGATACAGAATGGCTTTGATATGCATCAGTTTACGTACAGTAGAAGTTTGTCAGAAATTAGTAAGTGTATGGGCCAAAAGAGTTGATGTAGTGAGGAGTAGAAACTGTCCACTTATGAAAATTAGGGCTGTTACTAATTAAAAATGTCCTGTTCGATTAATCGATTTTTTTTAATCGATTAATTTCAATCAATTATAACGCACATACAGATTCAACTACTTTTAGCTGATCTGCTTGCACTGCAACTCTGCATTAGTCAGTGGTAAATGTGGTATACACTATAAACATATACACTTTAAAATAAATTGAGGGGAATTTATCAAAACTGGAGCAGACAAAATCTAGAGCAGCTGTGCATGGCAACCAATCAGCATCCACCTTTCATTTTCAAACCTTAACTGAACAAACTGAAGAGAGAAGTTGATTGGTTGTCATAGGCAACTGCTCCAGATTTTTTCGCTCCAGTTTATGGGCTTTTTAAATCGTTATGGCGGGCTTATGGCGTCATATTGACATCAGGGGGTATTGTGGTGGGTTGTGTCTCTATCTGTATGTCTATATAATGGTGGGTTTTTTCATTCACGCATTGTCATCTTTGAGCCTGATGAAGGGGACCCTGCGCGGTCCCAAAAGCACTTGTTTGATTGACATTGTTCACTAATGGGCGCTTTGCAGCTCTGATACAATACTTGGTGTGCTGGTGACATCTTCATTGACTGCTGCTGCTAACACGTTTCTGGGGACACACCCCCTTCTTCAGAGCAAGGCAGCCCAGCCAACCATGTACTATTTAATACTCGTATGGCCAATCGCAGGGGGTATAGTAATTGATTGGATCCAGAAGCGGCCACTCACAAATAAACATTCTGTTGCCAATCATTACACCGCTTGCCACATGGGGAAAGGAGATCTGTCCAGCTGATGCATTCATATTTGTTCCCCGTTTGTGTGATGCCTGCACCAGGGAACCAAGTGAGCCCCAAGCCGCTGACAACTCACAGCGTGAGGGCTCACAATCAGGTCCCTGTATGCAGACAGACACACACCAATGGCAAATGACACTGGAACACGCTCCTATCTGCTAGACCTGGTAGCCTCCAGTATATGTTCTAGTATTCTGAGGCTCAGTCGGCTAACGAAGGGAAGGGAGGGAGGAGTCAGGTGACGTCACGGACATCGACGTCACCGGACTCCTTCCCCTTCCCTTCCTTAACCGTCACGGACATCGACTTCACCGGACTCCTCCCCCCTTCGTTAGCCGACAGAGCCACTTGGAGAAGGGGGGAGGAGTCCGGTGACGTCGATGACGATGACGTCACCGGATCTCCGACGGAAGTTGGCGGAGAGGTGAGTACGATCAAGAGAGTTTTGATCGAGCAAAAAAATTAACGATTAATCGAGGGATTAATCGTTAATTTCCGCAGCCCTAATGAAAATGAATGTTAACTTATCCTAGTGCTCACTTTTGCATAGTGCCTAGTGCTCACTTTTGCATAGTGCCTAGTGCTCACTTTTGCATAGTGCCTAGTGCTCACTTTGAGTGCCCAATCATGAGAAAGGGAGTTTCAGAAAAACAAAATTTTTACTTGATTGAATGATTAAAGAAAACATTATATTGGATTGCCTTATTGACTAAGCTATGGTAACATGCTCTTTGCAAAGTGATCATTCACTTTGCTAAGTAAACTACCTCTATCCCTTTAACACATCAAATCCAAAATATATTCCTCTAAGTATAGTTCCATAAATGTGCAAATCCTGTTCCAGGCCATTGACCACTTAGTTATTGGCAACATTACCCTTTTTAATGGGATGACAGAATTAGTGACCAAGGCCTAGTCCTTTGCAACCATTCTAACTGATAAACAAAAACCCAATTACAATGTGTTACACATTTCATACATTCCTGATATGTAAAATACATGCAACTGTAGTGTTAGTCCCCCCCAATATGCATCACACAACAAGATTGTGACTTACTAAAAAAAGATGGAAACTTTAAAGCTGAACAAGAAACTCACATTTACATTTGAACTCCAAGGGCATATATCCAAATTTCAGTTGAATAGGCTCTCCTAAATGCATGCACATGTGATGACAGGGAACATGTTGGGAGTAGGAGTAAAGTGAGAAGATTTAATGACTTATCAGTGTGTTGCTGCTCGTTCATCGTCCAATCTTAAGGTAGGGGACACCACTGTATTCCTTAAAGCCCATTTCCACCTTTGCAGAGGTTTTACAAAAAGGTGTAAATGAAGCAGGCATATGTAGTTGCTGTATATGAACACAGAAACTTACTTTTTTGTTAGCGGTTCTCTTCATATCCTCATGAAAATGGCCACCTCTGTGCTCTGCAAGCAATCAAGCAATCTGTATAGTACAACTGAGCTCTCCACCCCCCATTCATTAGTATTCATAGTGGGACCCCCTCCCCCACGCCCCCCCACCCCACCCGCAGC